ATGGGGAGCTCGGGGGGAAGCCCGGGGGGGCAGCTTAGGGATGGACACGGCGGAGAGCTCAGGGATGGACACGGAGGACGCACGTTGGGGAGCCTGGGGGGCAGCTCAGGGACGCACACAGGGGGCACACGGGGGGGAGCCCGGGGATGGAGCCCGGAAGGCAGCTCAGGGATGGACATGGGGAGCCCGGGGAGAAGCCCGGGGGGTCAGCTTAGGGATGGAGCCCGACGGGGAGCTCAGGGATGGACACGGAGGATGCACGGGGGGCAGCCCGGGGGGCAGCTCGGGGATGGAGCCCGACAGGGAGCTCGGGGATGGACACGGATGGTGGCGGGGCGCGGGCTCCGCTCCGCCCGCAGTGTCGTTTTTACACCCACACCCTCCTTGCCGTGAAAAACGATGGGATTGAAGGAAAGATTTTTTTAATTTTTTTTTTCCTGCAGACAGTGAAAAGTTGTTCCCTGAAGAACTGGCCGGCAGAGCCGGCCCGGGGTGGGGGGGGGGGATAGGGAGCTGAGAGAGTTCTTTTGTGGTTTGTGTTGTTTTTAGAAAGGTTTGTGTGATGATCAAAATTCACAGAATCATAGAATCAGCCGGGTTGGAAGGGACCTCTGAGATCGTCAAGTCCAACCCTTGATCCACCACTGCCGTGGTTATTAGACCATGACACTAAGTAGGATAAAGGCCAAAAAAAAATAATTTTAGGATGGAGTTGCCAAAAACCTCAAATCAGATGCTCAACATCAAATTCCACTTCTGGAATTGTTTAAAGCCACACTGGCTGGTAAGTTTTAGGAGGCACTGGCAGTGGGGTGAGAGTGAAATCAGGTGTCAGGTTTGAGGGTTTCTGGAAGGGACCACTGTTAATTTGCAGTCAGACAGCTGAATCTTAGCTTGCCAGATTGCAAAATGCCTCTTTATCTATATCACTTATCAGCATCTAAAGGTAATTCCTTGTTTTGCAAATGTAAGGTAGAGTTTTGTGAGATGAATTTTGCAAAAATAAAGTGGAAGGTGTGTGTGAGAGGACACAAGGGATGAAGTTTGTCCTCGGAAGGAGCCAACCTCTTCTTCATCCAGCAGGGAGAAATGGGGTGAGACTTGAGACTGGGCTGGTCACTGATGAATCTACAAGCTCAGGTTTATCAAGAGAGCCATGAAACTTAAAAATGCAGAGGAGCTTTTTCTCCATTTCAATTAAAAAAAAAAAGAAAAAAAGCTCTTGTTAACCTGGAGATCGTATATGGGAAGATAATGGACTTTGTGAGATGCTTGTATTCAGAGCAGCAAAGAAGCTGTCAGAATTGAAAAGTGCATCTTATGTTAAGCCAAAAGGGCTTTTTACCGAGAATCAAAGCTGCTGGGTGAGGAATGACCTGATCTAGGTTATTAGCTGTTACAATCTGGTGAAATTCATACATAATATTAATTTTCCTAGTCTAATTCCCTCATTCTCATGTCAGAGTCATGTTAATGAGATAAGAGTCTTCTCAATTTGATAACTGCTTCCAGGCTGGAAGGAAAGCAAATACCTGCAAGGAAAAATTATTATTGCCTTGTCCTATTGTTGTAGTCCACCAAAATTCACAGAAATTCACAATTTTTGCTGTCTGTCAGACTGGTAACTCGGAGAGACTTGGCTTCCCTGTTCACATGTGGCAAAGATTAGATTCCTGCTGCCAACCTTACAGGCTGTATTTGAGGAACTAATTCTGCTTTTCAGCTCTAATCAGCATAAAAACTGTTCTGAGTTGGTGCCCTTTTGCCATGTTGTTGAACAGGATCTGGGGAGACCCTGCTTTGCTGAGAGAGACTGGTGGTGCCTTGGGATGTCTAAACTATCTACTCTTACCTCCCAAGTCTGCCTGGGGACACTGCTCTGTCCAAAGCCCTGAGGTTGTGTACTCCTGCATCATAACAGGCTTAAAAGTTCAGTTTTCTGGCATGCACTTTTTGGGCAGAAATAAAGCTAAAGAAGGCTTCTTTTTAAACCTTTTCCCCTCGATGGAGTTCCTTTTCTTCTCTTCATGAGGTCACCAGATTGATGGAGGGCGTTTTTATTGGGGTTTTGAATGCTGCTTACAGTTTTATGGTGTCCCTTTGAATGCAGAACTTTAATGGTGCTTGGTCTGAAGGAGAGCATGAGCTCTGGAAAATCAATATTTTGACAACAGCCAGTCTTTTATAGACCTGGCAGCATCCAATAAACACAAAAACAACTGTATCAGGCATTTTTGCAATTCAGAATTTTTCTGAAATGCAGCTGATGAGGACCTTTGATTATATTCACGGGCCAGGGAGGGCTCAAGAAGTAAGAAATGCTCAGGAAAATCTGATTGCTTTCTGTTCTTTGAGATATATGTCAAGAAAATTAATACTGTTTTTCTAAATTTTTGCTCTGTGTTATAGCTCTAGCTTCTATAATATCCTAAACTCTTCCCTCCAGAGTTTTTGAGGAAAAATTGCTTTCAGGTTCATAGATTTAGCCAAATTTTTCTTTCCTGACATGTTTACGGCAGAGAACAATACTTTACAGGCCAGGGAAGGAAGCAAAAGCCTCTGTAAATCACTCATTTTAGTGTTCTCTGATTCTAGGAAGCAGCTCAATACACAAAAATCAAACTGCAAACCAGCTATTTCTGCTTTTGAATGGTGGTTATGGCAAAGGAGTGTTTAGTCCATAGAGCTGCAGATAACAAGGCTCCAGCCATCTGAGCTTTGCCTCCTGTTCTTCCAGGGCAGTTCCAAGGTAGAAGTTTGTGGGATTTCTCCTTCTGGAGAGCACTGCACACAGGACTAGTACAGACAGGTTGGGTTTGTGACCAGTGCTTTGCAGCAGATCCAGGCTCACAGCCTGTCAGGGTGATGATGGTTTGTCCAGACTTTGCAAGTCTTTGTAAATGAAAGACCCCTCAGGGAATCTTCAGATCCTAATTCATCATCCATTTCTCTGCAGGAGGGTAAAATGCAGCTGGAATGTTACCATACACTAGTTTTTCAGGTCTGAGATGAATAAGGGAAAGCTCTGTAAGCTTGTTACTCACCCCTAAGGGAAATAGGGGAGAAACACAGGCTTTCTTTTTTTTGTTTGTTTGATGTCATGTGATGCAGAGGGTCCCTGCAAGTTAGTTGTGTGTGTACACCCAGAAATTGCTTTGGGCTGCATATATCATATATTTAGGCTTAATTTTCTGTTTGTTTGGTTTTTTTTCCCAGGTTCCTTTTGCAGAGGCCAGTAAGGACTGGATGACATGAATCCAGATATTTCCAGGTACGATGTCACAGTTGGGCATTTGGAGCTCAGTGGAGTTTGATCAGTTTGAGCTTGAGCTGTGCCACCTTTGCCTGCCCCAGGCCATGTGTGATTTTTCCCTTGTACCTTGAGCCTGCACAAATGATTTTGAAGCCAGGCAGGAAACTGCACTGAGGAACTGATGTGGGGTAAAATCACCCCTAAGTAAAAGAGGGAAAAGGTTTGTTTAAACCCAAATCTTTTTCTCAGCCTGGTTCTCTGTGAAGCCTCACAAATTCTTGTGTTGAGCACAGAGAGGTGGTGGCAGTGAAGAGGGAGAAATGGTCAGGGCTGGGTGGAGGCCAAGGTCCAGTCTTTGATGACGCTGTTGGTTTACACTGGCTCTGAGTTATAAGGAACCTGTCTCAGCAGGGGAATCTTCGTGCTGGAAAGAGCAGCACTTTCATTCTAAGGATTGTAGTGGATCTCTCCACCCATTGATGTAATCTTAAAGGAAACATGCCTGTTTCTTTCCCCTCAGTCCTGGGCTTTGTTCATGTGAAAGCAAGCTCAGAAGAAAGGACGTTATAGAATTTCAAAGGACTAACATGCACAAGTCAAAACAAATAGTCCCATCTTGATCTTCTGTACTGTGTGGTGTTAGTAACATGTACTTGTTCTCTGAAATGCTCAAAATTGAGTCTTTCTCTCATAGGACTATCTGGAAAATCACATTTGTTTAAATTTAGGCTCACTGGTTTGTCCAAACATTATATGACATAACAAGTGCACACTAAAATCCAATGTAAAGAAGGGTGTGCAGTTTTGAACTGACTCCACTTTAGCTGTGAATTAAGAGCCTGTAGATAAGAACAAAAGTGTCATAAGATTCCCAGAGTCAAGATTGCTTATTGTGCTCTGTGTTTTATCTGCTGCTTGTATTTCTAATGTCTGTTCCAGGTTTCTTCCCTGTAGGAGAAAAGCCACGCTTTCACCTAAAGGAAAAGGGGGAGCCAAAAGTCCCTACCTGATACAAGAGCTTGCTTAAAAATAGGTGTCTCTTTAGCAAGTCCAAATCTTGTAATTATTTCCTACTAGTAAAATTAATTACCCTCATTCTAGTAAATATTAAGAGAGTAATTGGACACTTCAATGGAATATGTGTCCAGTTTAGAATTTATAGCACCATTTCATTGCAGTGCCACACACACTGCAGGTTGTGTGGTAAAAGCTCCAGTTACAGAGTCCTAAGACCTGAACTAAACCTGATAGGAGGTGCACAGGAGCTGGGGCACTGCCCCCCTGCCCAGCAGCGTGTTCTGTTCTGTCAGGGGTCAGTTCCAGGAACTGATGCCCAGCCCAGACTGGGCTCTGGTGCAGAGCTGCCATGAAGGGCTGGGTGGTGCAAAGCTTTGCTCTCCAGTGGATGCACCCAGGCCATGAGAGGAGCAGGCAGAGCTCCTCTCTTTGGGTCTGACTCGGTGCTCCTGCTCTCACACACTGACCTTTAGCTCTGGGCTGTTTTCCACCTTGACTTGGTGTCTGCAGGTCTGTGTCCTGTGCCCTTGACCAACCTCCTCATTCAAATAAAAGTCTGCATTTTACTGTGGGTCTCCACTGCCTGTGTATTCATGTTTAGTGTATCTGTATTGAAGGTTTCATGTTTAAGTCTACTGGCATTCCATGGCAGGTGGTTCTTAAATAAAAAGAAAACAAGTGTCATTGTTTTTTCCAATTTTGAACATGCACTGAAGACTGTTCTGTTGGGCATAATTTACTCCTTTGCTGAGGAGTACACCTCAGCATGTTTGTCCAGAATTACACAGCAATGTCAGGAATCCAGTGCATGTTCCCCACTCCTTTTCCAATGAGCTTTAGTTTTAATTAATTCAGGAATAGCTTTCATTTGGAAAAAAGAGGAAATACATTCAAAGAGGACCAACTGTAGTAGTTCCATTAACTTCAAGACTGATTCAGCTTTTACCAAAACTGCTTTTGATAACAACTAGTTTCTTTGTTTCAAAAGTCAGCTCCAAAAATTCTTTGAATACTTTGCTTTGTGAGGTTGCTGCACTGGTGGCCGCAGGTATGGCATATACCTTCCAACCCAATGAGTGCCAAGGCTTTCAATCAAAACAGATAAGGAAAAATAAATTGTGAAAGAGGTAAACTACAGGCTGTGTTCAGATTGGATTTTATTTTGACAAGCAGTGTTATTTTTACCCCTGGGGTACTATAAGAGCTTTTGGGCTAACTGCTCATCTGCCTGTCTTCGTACATGTGTGGAAGATCCTTCTGCAGGGTTTTGAAAGATGATTTGTCAGAGTTTGTGTTCAATGTTTTTAAAGAAAACACCAGAGGAATTTTTCTGTTTAGAGATGATACTGAAGCAAAAGCACGAAAGCAGAATTCCCAAAATAATCATTTCTGTGTGACTTTTCTTGTGAAGTTATTTGCGGCGAACTGGAGCAAGGAGAGAGTGACCCTTAGTATCTGTATTTTAAAAATAAACCCTGAGCTCAGGCAGCATGAATCAGGGCCGTGCTGCAGGAGCCAGAGGTGCTGATGGTGTGCTGGGGGATCCAAAAGGCTGGGGCTGGCACTGGTTGTGCTCGGGGCCGTGCCTGCAGGCAGCGTGGGCAGGGTGGTGTGGGCTCAGGCAGGGCAGAACTGCTGCCTGCACTGGAGGGAGGTTGGTGTCTGTGCTGCAGAGAGATTGGCCCAGTGAGGAATAAACTGTGAGGAATAAACATGGGGTCAGAGTTTCCTCCGAGATCCGCTCGTTCCTGCAGCAAACTCGGGGACTCCTCAACAGCAGGGCAGGAGGAGGAATCCAGCTTAAGGGGTGACTGTGTTTGGCAGGAGAAGACCAAGAAAACCTGGGCTGAGCAATCTGAGTAAATGTGGGATCACTCATTAAAATGGTCTCGTTGCAGGTTTGGTTCAGCCATCCCGTAGTGCCAGAACTGCTGGATAAATAGCACAGTGTGGTTGCAGCCTTCAACTCCTGACAGGGGATACACCATCCTCTAGTGATTTGTTTATGCAATATGGAAAGCTCCACTGGAAGCAGGTTCTCCTCATGTCAGGCACTGCTCCAGCAAAGAACAGAGGACAGTGCCTGTGGAAAGAACTGTAGTTTTACATTTATGCTTTTTAAGCTGCCCATATTATAGGGCTTTTAAGTGACCTGTTCTAATGAAGAATAATTCATATTCAGGTTTGTTTTTAAATTACAATCGTCATATGATAGATTGCATTACTCATTAAGCAGTAATGCTTGTGAAAAGTGAGTTTCAATTCTTTTAATCTTGGAGAGGAAATCTTTCTATCTGTTGCTGTCTCTTTCTCAATGTTTTTAACCTATTTTGCTTTTGCAGTAATGTTGGGAATGCAGATGCTGTTCCCAGATAAGGTTTTAAGTTTGTGTTTTGAAATGAAAAAAATCATGAAAACATGTACTACTTTTAGAGGTGGAAGTATCATTTAAAAGAATCTTCATTTTAGACTAATTAATTTTCTTTTTTTTTTTCTAAGCTTTGGAACAGCCTGGGGAGTTTGTGGGAACAAATACCTGGGAAACTGATGGAACTGTTGATATTGAAATTTAAAGCCAGCTCATATGAAGTAATTAAAGCCTGTGTGTTTCCTGCATGAGAGAGGAGAGTGAGGATTTGTGTGAAAAGTCATTCTCTGCATGTGTAGGTGGACTGCATTGTAATACAGGATGCCTCCCTCAACTCCATGCAGGAGATTATCTTTGGGGAAATGGCCTGTTTGTGGGAGAAAAATGGGGTAAGGGTGTTTGACTCACTGTGGGGCTTGACTGCACAAATAAGGAGGTAGGAATTTTAGGTGAAACTGGGGATGAAGCTTCTGAGGGGCTGCTACAAACTGCAGAACCAAGCACAGGAGAGATGAGGAAGAGCTCTCCTGGAAGACCAGAAAGGCTTGCCAAGGGTGATTCTTAGAGGACAGGTTAGGAGAGGGCCATCAGACCAGAACAGCACAACTATTTAGGAACATTTATGCTTCAGAAGGCTGGAGAATCAGGTAGTGCATTGAACAAGCATTGCACTGTCTCATGAGCTTGTGAGAAAGAAGCTTTACTGAGAGCTCTGTGGTATTTTAATGTGACGTGAGTATGGCTTGGAAGCTTGAACCTACTACCTACTTTTTATTATTCCCAGTTTTTAAGTTAGTATTAAACTCTCTAAGGCCTGATATGTGATTGTGGAGTAACAGAGTTGGTGGTAATAAGCTGAGTAATTTCAGTTGGCAGCAAAAGGAAATGTCTGGGGTATGTATTGCCTTGAAAGATCTGGGCAAATATTTTCTGTTTCTCCAACATCTGAACCTCCATGCACACAACTGGGTTGTAAGGCCAGAACTTGCCTTTGGAAGAGCTTCTTGCAAAGTTATTGCTGCCCAGGCTCAAAGTTTTGGGCCGGATTCAGTGTGTACTCTCACAGTGTGTGATTCCTTTTTGTATCTTTCTCCCTCCACAACCTGTGAAAAGGCTCCTGTTGGTGTTTGAACTGCTTGTTGGTACATTCTTTGGGGAATAAATAGCATTTCTGTTTAAAGGCTTTTTGGCAGTTTTTACTGTCTCTTACCTCAGATTGAAGGACATGATCTCACTAAGATTCCCTGACTCTTGCTTTGTTTGGTACCAATGAATTCAAGAGAAAGAAGAGGTGAGTAGTTCTGGGAGAAGTAATCTATCTCCTGCTTGATTCTCTGTGTGATCTTCCAACCTGAATTCTTAACTCACCATGGCCTGCAGCCAATAACTTGATTTCCTTCCTCAGTTCTATCAAATGATGTCAGACAGTGACTGCTGTTTCTGCAGTGAGACTGGAGGAAATAGCAGGCAAAATTAGGAGAAGGAATGAAAGGAAAAATGCAAAGAAATTGCTGAGTCGTTCGTTTGTGTTTTATGGGTGCCTCCTTCTTACATTTTGCATTTGCACTCTCGGGGGCACACACATGTCTTTGTGCTTTGTGGAGATGTTGTAGCTGGTGCCTTGGGTGCCTCA